TGAATGAGATGTTGAGCTCTGATTCAAGGGAACTCTTTCTGAGGGCCTGTTTAGGAGGGATAATTAACTTCCATCATTGTGCTAATACTCTAGACACCTTATTAAGGTATATCTCTTGAGATTCCGGTCTTTGAGGAGACAAGTGGAATAGACTGTACAACTGGGGAGGCCCTATCTTGTGGTGAGAGTATAAATACACTTAACTACTCAGATATAAATATGACACAATGATTCATTGACTGTTATCCCTTTGAGACAAAGAATGAATACTATCCAGATGATGTTTGATTTGATTACAGGCATGAAGATGGTCCTCACTGGCTGGATGCTAAATGACAGTCTACAATCTGCCAGAAGAGGCAAAAACTGCCCCTGAACCCATTGGCTGTTGCCTAATGACAGTCTACAATCTGCCAGAAGAGGCAAAAACTGGCTCCTGAACCCATTGGCTGTTGCCTAATGACAGTCTACAATCTGCCAGAAGCGGTAAAAACTGGCTCCTGAACCCATTGGCTGTTGCCTAATGACAGTCTACAATCTGCCAGAAGAGGTAAAAACTGGCTCCTGAACCCATTGGCTGTTGCCTAATGACAGTCTACAATAATGCAAATAGCCCCCAGAAGCGGTTTAAAAACTGGCTCCTGAACCCATTGGCTGTTGCCTAATGACAGTCTACAATCTGCCAGAAGAGGTAAAAACTGGCTCCTGAACACATTGGCTGTTGCCTAATGACAGTCTACAATCTGCCAGAAGAGGTAAAAACTGGCTCCTGAACCCATTGGCTGTTGCCTAATGACAGTCTACGATCTGGTCTTAGATTGGGTATACCAGTTACCTACAAGTGATCTGAAAGAGACAGATGGACCCTGGAACAGAACCCATTGGCTGAATGCCTCAATGCCAGTGCCTTATCTGACCTCTGCTGCATGTGTAAATCCTCCAGTCTGAATCCAGGGAAGAGCAGAATCTGAACCTGATGACTGAGTGTCCAGATGACAGAAGAATGCCTGCTCATGATGCTGAAATGGATCCCTAATCCAGTGTGTCAATATCCAGTTATTCATTGATAAGACTGTAAGTGGAGCTCTGTAAACTTCAACTGAAGAGAGTTCTCACATGGGCTAGATTAACAAGATCATTAACTGGTTATATTCCAGCAGCAAATTTGTCATGCCAAATGTTTTCTGTGTCCCGTAGGCTTGTCAACCATAGTGCCCTGGCACTGCATTAGATTTGTGTTCCTGGTTATAGTTCGTGATTGATATATTGAGTGATCAATAAATGTTGAAATGTTAACTTCATTCTTATTTTAACTATGAGTATATACTGTGGTTTTGCAAGAAGTTTTTTTCTTCTTCTTTACTGTGAAACACCGTTGGGGGGTATTTAAATTGTGAGAGTGTCTTTAACTAAATATTTCCCAGGTGTCCATATTTTATATCTCAGGGGTCCCATCTACCATCTAGTTTCCACAACAGGAATCTCTTTTGTCTAATATAATAATATCCAATTCTGCAGTCTTTTGGCATTTTTCAGTTACGGAGAGATGGCTCCCTTGTAAGTCTATCCAGACCATCTGTCTTTGATGACAAACAGCTACAGCTAAAGACTTGAGCTCTGTGAAGTTCATAAATAACACAGTGATGAATCATTTCTTTAGTTCTAAGCATTGTACAATACTGCTGAATGTGAGTTATGAATCAACATGTCCAAAATCAACTCAGAGTATTTAAAACAAACAGTAACCACTTTCTTTACACATCCTCAACCCAAATTACACACACACACACGGAGGAAGTCAGTAAACTGCCACTGACATACTTATAGATAAATGAACAATTTTTATTTTTAAAGGGTTCCAAATTGGTATGCAGACACATCTAATATTCTGCCCTTCTCATCTCACTGTCCTCATACATGATCTCACTGCCTTCACACGATCTGACTGCCTTCATTTATGATCTCACTGCCTTCACATGATCTGACTGTCTTCACATGATCTCACTGCCTTCACATGATCTGACTGTCTTCACATGATCTCACTGCCTTCACATGATCTGACTGCCTTCACATGATCTGACTGCCTTCACATGATCTGACTGCCTTCACATGATCTGACTGACTTCACATGATCTGACTGCCTTCACAAGATCTAAGTGCCTTCACATGATCTGACTGCCTTCACATGATCTGACTGCCTTCACATGATCTGACTGCCTTCACATGATCTCACTGCCTTCACATGATCTGAGTGCCTTCACATGATCTCACTGCCTTCACATGATCTGACTGCCTTCACATGATCTGACTGCCTTCACATGATCTGACTGCCTTCACATGATCTCACTGCCTTCACATGATCTCACTGCCTTCACATGATCTGACTGCCTTCACATGATCTGACTGCCTTCACATGATCTGACTGCCTTCACAAGATCTGACTGCCTTCACAAGATCTGACTGCCTTCACATGATCTCACTGCCTTCACATGATCTGACTGCCTTCACAAGATCTCACTGCCTTCTCATGATCTGACTGCCTTCACAAGATCTCACTGCCTTCACATGATCTCACTGCCTTCACATGATCTGACTGCCTTCACATGATCTGACTGCCTTCACATGATCTGACTGCCTTCACATGATCTGACTGCCTTCACATGATCTGACTGCCTTCACATGATCTGACTGCCTTCACATGATCTGACTGCCTTCACATGATCTGACTGCCTTCACATGATCTCACTGCCTTCACAAGATCTCACTGCCTTCACATGATCTGACTGCCTTCATATATGATCTCACTGCCTTCACATGGTCTCACTGCCTTCACATGATCTGACTGCCTTCACATGATCTGACTGCCTTCATATATGATCTCACTGCCTTCACATGATCTCACTGCCTTCACATGATCTCACTGTCTTCACATGATCTCACTGTCTTCACATGATCTCACTGCCTTCACATGATCTGACTGTCTTCACATGATCTGAGTGCCTTCACATGATCTGACTGTCTTCACATGATCTGAGTGCCTTCACATGATCTGACTGCCTGCACATGATCTGACTACCTTCACATGATCTCACTGTCTTCACATGATCTGACTACCTTCACATGATCTCACTGTCTTCACATGATCTGACTACCTTCACATGACCTGACTGCCTGCACATGATCTGACTACCTTCACATGATCTGACTGCCTTCACATGATCTCACTGCCTGCACATGACCTGACTGTCTGCACATGACCTGACTGCCTTCACATGACCTGACTGCCTTCACATGACCTGACTGCCTTCACATGACCTGACTGCCTGCACATGACCTGACTGCCTTCACATGATCTGAGTGCCTGCACATGACCTGACTGCCTTCACATGACCTGACTGCCTGCACATGACCTGACTGCCTGCACATGACCTGACTGCCTTCACATGATCTGACTGCCTTCACATGATCTGAGTGCCTTCACATGATCTGACTGCCTTCACATGATCTGACTGCCTTCACATGATCTCACTGCCTTCACATGATCTGACTGCCTTCACATGATCTGACTGCCTTCACATGATCTGACTGCCTTCACATGATCTGACTGCCTTCACAAGATCTCACTGCCTTCACATGATCTGACTGCCTTCATATATGATCTCACTGCCTTCACATGATCTCACTGCCTTCACATGATCTGACTGCCTTCACTTGATCTTACTGCCTTCACATGATCTGACTGCCTTCACATGATCTCACTGCCTTCACATGATCTCACTGCCTTCACATGATCTCACTGTCTTCACATGATCTCACTGTCTTCACATGATCTCACTGCCTTCACATGATCTGACTGTCTTCACATGATCTGAGTGCCTTCACATGATCTGACTGTCTTCACATGATCTGAGTGCCTGCACATGATCTGACTGCCTGCACATGATCTGACTACCTTCACATGATCTCACTGTCTTCACATGATCTGACTACCTTCACATGATCTGACTACCTTCACATGACCTGACTGCCTGCACATGATCTGACTACCTTCACATGATCTGACTGCCTTCACATGATCTCACTGCCTGCGCATGACCTGACTGCCTGCACATGACCTGACTGCCTTCACATGACCTGACTGCCTGCACATGACCTGACTGCCTGCACATGACCTGACTGCCTTCACATGATCTGAGTGCCTGCACATGACCTGACTGCCTTCACATGACCTGACTGCCTTCACATGACCTGACTGCCTTCACATGACCTGACTGCCTGCACATGACCTGACTGCCTTAACATGATCTGACTGCCTTCACATGATCTGACTGCCTTCACATGATCTCACTGCCTTCACATGATTTGACTGCCTTCACATGATCTGACTGCCTGCACATGATCTGAGTGCCTTCACATGACCTGACTGCCTTCACATGATCTGACTGCCTTCACATGATCTGACTGTCTTCGCATGATCTGACTGCCTTCACATGATCTCACTGCCTTCACATGACCTGACTGCCTTCACATGATCTTACTGCCTTCACATGATCTGACTGTCTTCACATGATCTGACTGCCTTCACATGATCTGACTGTCTTCACATGATCTGACTGCCTTCACATGATCTGACTGCCTTCACATGATCTTACTGCCTGCACATGATCTGACTGCCTGCACATGATCTGACAACCTCCACATGATCTCCCTGAACAGCTAGCTGTAAGCTACACGTATTGTGTCTGTTTCCCTATGGTGAACACTCCTTCAGATAATATGCAGCTGTCTGTTGATCACCTCCTTCAGCAGCTGCTTCTGCTGCTTGTTGAACAGCTGGGAACTGTTGAACAGCTGGGAACTGTTGCAACCTGTGCAGTCTGTAGACTGATTACTGGCTCATTTCTGCTGGAGCTGTGATCACTCTGCTGCTGCAAGCTGAAGCTCGACCCTCAGCATCTCCAGTCACTGACACTATGACTACAGCCAGCCAGGTGCAGACGCTACAAGTGGATGTGCTCTAGTAGCTTGTGAATGTCATCTTCAAGCTGCTTCTGGTCCCCGTTGTTGTTGATGATCACATCCCAGTCCACACCCGAATCCAACCCACACTCCGACTCAGCGTCATCTACACCTGTCAAAAACATAAAAGCATTATTTTTTGTTTTTTAAGTTTCAGAAAAATGGGAATAAAATCTATATCCAGTAATAAATGTTACAGATGCACTGTCTGTTCTACAAGCAATAGAATCCACCAAGATTTATACGATCATTAGACGGACAATATGTTTGGGTGGATGGGTGCAATAAAAGACACAAAACTGGCCGAAAGAGAGAAAGATAAAAATTATGTTCTGTCAGAAATCTAATACCCTGTAATAAATACAGCTATATTTATCAAGCCATGCAGGCAACCAACATTTATATGGCTGAGATATATCCTTTTCTCTTCTTCACATGCTACTGGTTGTCAACTTAAATGAAAAGTTATGGTTGTTCCTCCGCTTCCAGCTTTAGTCTTGTACTAGAACTTGAGTTTTATGTGCACATCCATTTTACAGACCTGACTTACTTGTAAGCAGACTGTTGGTTTCTGGCCTCTCAGGTAGATGCACCCCAAAATTTGAAGGAGACACCCCTAACTAGTTAACTTTTACAACATGCTTGTTAGGCAGGCAGTGGGTCTATTCTCCCCCCCCCCCCCCCCCCCCTTCCCTTCCCTCTTACACTGGGGCACTAGAACCCACACAGTGAACTGAGAAATACTGACTGCAAACTTTTTCCTCAAAAGCTGCCAAAATCATAAAGAATCAATATACAATAAACAAAGGCAGAAACTATCTGTAGATGGTTGCTTAGTCAGGAAGCCTCTAGTTTAAACTTGAATTCTGACACATTTGTTTTCAGGTCACCTGAGCATCAGACAGGTCACCTGAGCACCAGACAGGTCACCTGAGCATCAGACAGGTCACCTGAGCATCAGACAGGTCAACCTGAGCATCAGACAGGTCACCTGAGCAACAGAGAGGTCCCCTGAGCATCAGACAGGTCACCTGAGCATCAGAGAGGTCACCTGAGCATCAGAGAGGTCACCTGAGCATCAGAGAGGTCACCTGAATATCAGAAAAGTCATCTGAGTTTACAAGCTGGTGTGTATCTGCCAACATCAGGTTAGTGTAGCCATGTTTCTGTTGGCATCACACTGAAGTACTATCTCTTTAGAAACTGTTCTGTCAGGCTCGTCTTTCCCTGCAGCTCAGAAACAGTGGGGCTTGCAAGTTCAGTACACAACTTCACATAAGCAGAGGCATACCAGGATAACATAATGGGATGAACCAGCACAGCACAAAGGACTGGCAGAGATTAGGTCCAGGTGGGTACTTTTGCTTGTAATATTTCCTAAACAGGCATCATCCCAGAGACAACAAACTAAACGATGGAACCTAAACAGGTTTCAAACATTTCATTGTCAAAAGATTCCAACATAGAGACTGATCCTAATACGAGTCGATGAAACAAGCTACAAAGTCTTCATCAAAACACAGACTAATATAACAACACAGGAATATGACAATGTGCATATATGTATACATGGAAAAAAATGTGACTGTTCTTGAAACAGAGTAATGGGTGCTAATTTATGGTCTGAACAAGAATGTATTTCACGTCACTTGTGAGTGTCAGACAAGTTTAGAATTTAGAGTTACTTACCTTGTGTGAAAACAAATCCCCTCTGCTTCCTGGTGTCCGTGTCTGCTTGCACCCGAACAAGTGTGGTCACTTTGTTATAATTTTTCTGAAAATACTCAACGTCCGATAATCTCCTGGCATCACAAATAATCCAGACATCTTTCCCTGAGTCCTCCCCTGATGTGGCTAATCTGCAGAAAAAAGCCGGATCCTGGTTTCTCTTCTCTTCTCCCCAGCGAATCATGTCAGCTCGATAAGTTTCTTTGTAGGCTGTGGCATCCAGTAATTTCTCAAAGTCAAGGTCATGCTCCTGTGAGAGACAGGCACACAAAGAGAGTCACCATTTTACGAAGTGTAAATGTGAAAGTCACAAGTCAATGACACTATATCAACTCTCTATTTTTCCCCCCCCCCCCCCCCCACCCCACTCTTGTGAACTGCCACACTTCTAAACACCAGAGAGAGCCTTTTGATCATCTCCAACAATTACAAACTAGCTACAGTTTCCTGGACCTGCTACTACAACTTCTTCTTTTTCTTCATCTGCATTCACCATCTTCTTCTTCTTCTTCTTCACTTCCTCTTTTACCGCTGTGGGTGTCGAGGGAAATATAAGGTTCTGTTTCTAGCTCTTCTGGCCGCCTCGACCATAGGCACATCGTGCTGTTGTAGAGTTTCTCTGATGTTATCCTTCCATCTACCTCGTGTTCTACGTCCTTCTTCTCTTTCCATGTATGCTTTGTATGGTATGGTGTCACAAGGCATTCTCTCTAAGTGGGCAAACCATTTCACTTGCTGTCTTCGTATGTAATCCAGAATTAGTTCTGTGCCGACTTTTTCTCTTATGATCTCATTCCTGATCTTATCTCTTATGGTCACTCCTACAGCCCTTCTCAGACATCTCATTTCCGTGGTTACTAATTTTCTTTTATGGTTTGTTATGAGTGACCATGTCTGGCACTGGTCGCACAGAGTTGGAATAAATATGCTTTGAATAAGATGTCTCTTTGTGCTGATTGGGATTGTCTTATGCTGTAAGAGGGGAGCTAGCTGTCCCAATACTTGGTTTGCTTTACTGCATCTAATGTCAATTTCTTTATCCAATTTCCCATCTTCGGTAAATGTAGTTCCCAGATATTTAAACTCAGATGCCTGTTTAATGCCTTTGCACTCTATTGCTATGTTTAGATCTGTCTTCTTTTTTGACATTACTTCTGTCTTTTCAGTGTTGATTCTCATATTATTTGTTTTACATTCTTCATTCATGGATGTTAGATGTTGTTGCAATTTCATGGCTGTATCTGCTATCAAGGCCTGGTCATCTGCAAAGAGTAATTCATTGATCTTACTAACATTTTCATTCATGGGCTTGGCATTCTTGCATATACTGTCAATATAGGTGATAAACAGCAGTGGTGATAAGACACACCCCCGTCTTACTCCAGATGTCACTGTGAAAGGATGAGATGTTCCCTGATTTATTCTAACTACACTTCTACAATCCCTGTATAAACTTTTGCCATTACTTTCCATAATAATTGTCTGTCCACTCTGTCAAATGCCTTCTCCTGGTTCACCATCAGCCATTCTAAACGCTTAGTCCTGTCTGGGCAAACAAGGCAGTGCATCTAAGGTCACTTCCAGTTCCCCATAGATTGTGTATTGTGGATCCACTGGGCCCGTAGTAGTTAAGACAAACTTGAAGTACATACTCAAGGTCTGTCTGTCAGCTCTGCATTCATGGGTGGCCTAGTTTGAGTATGTTTACTCTAAGATTGCAGTGTCATGTCCGAAGCCTTAAAACTGTAGATCTTTTTTTGCTTAATCTGTCTATGCTGTCATTCTCACAGAATATACTTCCTAGATATTTAAATGCTACAACTTGCTTCAGACAAGCAGCATTCAACCCGATATGTAGTCGACTAGGTATTTTGATGACTTGCATGACTTCACTTTTAGCAGTATTTATTTTCATGTTATATCTTCTGCATGTTGAACTTAGCCTGTTCAAATGTTCTAGCAGTTTAATCCCCTCATTGTAGAACAGACACTGATAGTCTGCAAATAGTAGCTCACTTATTGTGTGAGGATCTAATTCTTCCTCTGGAAAGTGAAATTCCTCATTTTCTGGGTCGACTGCTCTAAAACTGGCTTCTCTTTATATTCTGTCTCTGTATATAGTAAATAAGAGAGAAGAGAGCACACATCCCTGCCTCCCCCCTGTACTGATTGTAAACATATCAGACATGCCTTTTTGTGTTATCACTGCACTTTAGGAAGTATGGTACATGGTCACGATGTTATCTAACAACTGTCCTTGAATCCCATAATCCTCAAGAATAGCCCATAGTTTGTTTCTATCTTCTCTATCAAAACCTTTTTCTTTATCTACAAACACAGTATTTACTTTGTCATATTCAATGGTTTTCTCGCACACTTGTCTTAGTGTAAATAATGCATCTGTGCAAGCTCTTCCTTTCCTGAAACCAAAATGTGACTACCTAGGTGCTGTTCTGCAATAGGCCTAACTCTCTGTTCTAATAATTTCTTGTCAAGGACCTGGTATCTAAGCTACTTAACTAGGGCTCGTTCTACGGCCCTGTGACAGACACACTTTACCAAAACACACTCAAAACACTCACCTATGGAGCACACACATCATCTTTAATGAACAAAGAACAAGACAACCTAAAGCAACCTCCACAGTTATGGACAGTCCCTTATACGATACTCTCGCAGTGCCAGCATTTATATTTACTTATCCACCCCGAGCCATTCCCATGGATGTACCAGAGAACATGATTCCACCTCCTGTAGTGCAGCGCTAACTAGGCTATGATCTTCTCCATGCGAGACTCAGTGGCACACGCAGGGTGAGTGGTTCAAGTATTATCGGGCAATGTCAACGCCATCACAAAACGCAGCTAACCCCTAATAACCCAGGGACAAGGACACCTACCTAAGTATGATACAACCCCAACACAACTGTTTTAGTATACTATAAGCACACGAGGAATACCAACAGCTTACCAACACATATGGCAACAACTCTAACACAACCTATATTTCAATTCCTAAAAAAATACAATCACGTTTCTAAATGTCTTCAGCCTCACACGTCCATTCTAACAGCTCTCCTTCTCTCCCCGTTCAGCTTCGGGTCAAATGTGTACGTTGCACCAGTGTTCAAGCCATCTCGGGTTTTCCCCATATCGTCAAATCAACTGGCTGACCGCTGGTGCACTTTTTGGTCCGTCAAACACAAACATGAAGTTACACGTCGTGTTGTCTATACTCTGTCCCACAGCGCTATGACACCTCTGTAGGATGCACAGTCTCTTGTGCTACCTTTTCCAAACTAGTTTTATCAACGCCTGCTGCCAGTCAAGTGGAACTTTGATTTCTTCCCATGTTGTACAGAACATTCTTGTTTGCGATTTGATACCAGTTTGACCACAGGCTTGAATAGCTTCTGTAGTTATTCTATCGAAACCGGGTGCTTGGTTTTTAGGGCTTTTCTGTATAACAGCTTTGGTTCATGTTGGTCATTGCTTTTAGGCACAAAACTGATGTTATCAACTTTGTTTTCAGGGTTCAGTAGATCTTACAAATATTCTGTCAATCTTGCTAACATTGGCAGATACTAACACACCGTAGCATACAGTCACTAGCAGGATACTGACATACCATAAAACACAGGGACCTGCAGGATACTAATTTCCACAAAACACAGTGACTTGCCAGATACTGACATACCATAACACACAGTGACTTGCCAGATACTGACATACCATAACACACAGTGACTTGCCAGATACTGACATACCATAACACACAGTGACTTGCCAGATACTAACATACCATAACACACAGTGACTTGCCAGATACTGACATACCATAACACACAGTGACTTGCCAGATACTGACATACCATAACACACAGTGACTTGCCAGATACTGACATACCATAACACACAGTGACTTGCCAGATACTGACATACCATAACACACAGTGACTTGCCAGATACTGACATACCATAACACACAGTGACTTGCCAGATACTGATATACCATAACACACAGTGACTTGCCAGATACTAACATACCATAACACACAGTGACTTGCCAGATACTGACATACAGGGACTTGCCAGATACTAACATACCATAACAAACAGGGACTTGCCAGATACTGACATACCATAACACACAGTCACTAGCAGGATCGTAACATACCATAACATACAGTCACTAGCATGATCGTAACATACCATAAGACACAGGGACTTGCCAGATACTAACATACTATAACATACAGTCACTAGCAGGATCGTAACATACCATAACACACAGTCACTAGCAGGATCGTAACATACCATAACACACAGTCACTAGCAGGATCGTAACATACCATAACACACAGTCACTAGCCTGATCGTAACATACCATAACACACAGTCACTAGCCTGATCGTAACATACCATAACACACAGTGACTTGCAGGAGAACCTAATACTAAACATGAGCCAGAAGCAGAGGCAACTTTACTAAACTTTAGAAGCTGGAGACTAACAAGAACCATTATCATAACATCACCTGAAACATTACCTTTGCATACTGTTTCTTTAAAGGCCCCGAGAGATGAAGCACTGCACATTTATCTGGACCCAGTCTGAAAATATTTAAACTTGTGTCTAACGTGTAATAAAAACATACACACTACCACTCAAATGCCAGGATGCAAAAATTTTTCGCTGATTCTTTTTAACACAGACACACACAAAAATATTAACATGTCATGGCCAGGGGTGCCAAAACCAGGGACTTAGGTCCTTTAACCCTCCCCCCCCCCCCTGCTCCATGTCTATACACTCTTTTGTATATTTGTTGAGCCCATTCAACATATAATAATTTCAGAAACAAAAAAACCCACTTTATAATTATTACTAAAACAGGGAGCCAGCATGGTGTAGCAGTTAGATGCTCATTTGCGGATCTGTACGTCATTGGTTCAGGACCTAGCGGAGCCGCACTTTAAAAAAAAAAGATGACCTCCGAGGTTGACCCAGTCTTAAATGGGTAGCAGATAAAGTGCTGGTAGGTAGAGGCACTCACACCCTGGTTATATAATCAGGAGAAAATCTATACCATTCGTGGTGTCCAATACATTATCTAGCTCTGTGTTTAACTTGCTTGACACCTGTCCTCCGTGGCTAGAGTTGGATGTTCAACTTACTTGGCACCTGTCCTTCTTGGCCAGACCTCTATGTTTAACTAACCTGGCATATGTCCTCCTACGCTGGAGCTCTATGTTCAACTAACATGGTACCTGTCTTCCTTGGCTAGCGCTCTAAGTTCAACTTGTGTTGGACCTGTCCTCTGTGGCAAGAGCTCTATGTTCAACTAATATGGCATCAGTCCTCCTTGGCTAGAGCTCTATGTTTAACTAACTTGGCACCTGTCCTCTTCTGCTTAAGATCTATTTTCAACTAAGTTTGCACCTTTTACTTGGCCTGAGCTTTATGTACAACCAAGACAGCATCTTTCCTATTTGCCCAGAACTCACCTGAAATTCTACACTGGCTTGAATCCATACTGGGCAGATCTGGGTGTTAAGGGAGGAAGATGGGGGGCTGGAGGTCATGGTTGCCAAGTCAACGCAGATTTCAATGGGTCACAGTCATGAGCATATTACATTTAGTTAGGACTACAGTCCAAGCAATGGGGTGATGGTGGTGGGTCAAATACTTACAGCCCATCTGCTGATTATTAGAATAAGACCACCATTCAACAGGACAGCTAAACCTGACATAACTATTTGTTGTTATCACTACTAACTAGCAATTATTATAATAGTCATGAAGTCATCTTGTCCTGTTATGTGCCTTTTACTTACATTATTGTTTTATTTTACATTATTGGTTCATTTTCCGAACCAATACACAAATAAGGCAAGAATCCAGGCAAGAGTATGTGTCTAATTTTATACGAAAACGCCGCTGGAACTATATCGGCCACGCCCTTAGAATGGATAAATCAAGACTTCCTTACCAAGCCCTCATTTGGACACCACAGGGGAAAAGATCTCGTGGAAGACCAAGGGAAACCCTACGTAGAACTATCATCAGGGAAGGCTCACTCATGGGCCACTCAAACAACCAAGACCTACAACAGATTGCAACAAACCGCCATGCATGGAGAGTCATGACCTCTGCCCTATGTGCCGCACTCGACACAAGAGGAAAGACTAACTAATTGTTTTAATGGGTAAAGTCCCATATTCTAGGGGTTGGGATTAGGATCTGTGTGAGCCCTGACCACCTCCGAGACACCCACTACTGCTAACCCATTAATAACATGCCTAGAATATTGAACTCTAGTATTTCCTTTGTTTAGGGTGAATTTTTAAAAAAGTACCCGTGTATGATTGAAATACGTATACAATACATAATGTCACTTATGTTTCATCAAGAATTAATTTTTTTTAAATGCTTTCAACGATACATTAGATCATGTCCAAAAAAACCCAAGTAGCTTGGCAAGTTGTCTGTCAATACAAAACGTTAGCATCACCGTCAAGACAAAGAGAGAATAGTCAACTCTGAACAGAGTTCAACTCTGAGTTGAGTCGAGTCAAAAATTGCCATCACAGCACTCGGGCACTCCCGTTCTGGCTCAGTCCTCACCTTCAACAGCCAGCGCAGAGTTCCACTACTGACGGTACCGGTCACAATCTGGTTATATGTCCGTCTTGCTGCCTTTCCTCTGAGTGTAGTCAGCCGGCCGGACCCGCTGGTGCCTTATTCTCTCTAGGCCATAATAATTAATAATCTGAATAATCTTTCTCTACTGATTCCGTTGCTTGTTCCTAAAGTTAAGGGACCACATGATCTCCCTTTGTTGAACTATGAACAAAGAAAATACGACTAATGAATAAACATGTTTAGTTAAATAACTCATTGCCTGATGGTAAACGTCCTTCTGAGAAGCAGCCGGTACTTACTTGTTGCGTAACTGTTCACTGATGTAATCTTTGCCAGACTTTCGCTTGCCGCTGATCACGACCACCGCCTTCGGGGAGGCCGCCATGTTTCGGTTGTAGCAAAAGTTGGAGTGTTTCACATCGGATCAAAGCTGATAATGGGCATTTTATTTAAATGTTGAATTAGGAATCGACATCACACCACTCGGGACACTCACATAAGTGCTCAGTCCCCATCTTCAGCACTTTCAATTCCAATGGTACCTGTAACCGTCTGATTGTAAATCCGTCTCATCCTTTCCCTGAGTGTTGAGCTTCGGCCAGATCCCCTGGTAACTCGTAGAGTTGAGTCAAGAATTGACATCACAGCACTCGGGGCATTTCCATGCGTGCTCCGTCCTCACCTTCAGCAGCCAGCGCAGAGTTCTAATACTGATGGTACCGGTTACAATCTAGTTATATGTCCGTCTTGCCTTTCCTCTGAGTGTAGTTAGCCAGCTAGACCCTCTGGTTACACCCAGGTGCCCCATTCTCTCCAGGCCATAATAATCTTGTTTCGCTTCTGACTCCGTTGCTTGTTCCCAAAGGCCCTGATCGAAGCATTCCTGTCTTCACCTGTTTCGGCATTCATTTAAAGTCTGTTACAGCTACGACATGTGTATGCATTTTGTTCTCTAGCCACCGGAGAGCTGCAGTTACCACCTCCACCTCCATTCTAATGCTAGATGTGATGTTCCTTAGACCGTAATAATCTAACTGCGCCTCCGCACTGTTTACTCGCTCCCAAAGGGCCCTCAAAATATCTAACTTGTCATACATCAAATCACCACCAAGTAGGGCAGAGCCCGCCAGTCTGTCTGCCTGCTCGTTTTCCAACACACCGGCATTACCTGGAGAAAGTATCCAAAGGATGCTAACTACTCAGGACCGCTAAAGTAATGCTTGGGATTTTTATCAAAACCGACAGAAGAGACATGAAACTGGCGGTAGCACTGGATCTCGAGGATGCTTATAACAGAGTGAGATACGACATCTTGATGACTGCACTGAAGGAGAAGAAGGTCAGTCCATGGCTGGTGAATTGGGTTGCAGCTGTCCTGTATTCAGGTCATGTTGCTCTCCGACTGGGCTCATGGACCTCTGAACCATGCACTTTGGCCCCAGGACTGCCACAGGGATCCGCCATCTCGCCTGTGCTTTTTAACGTGTATACGAGCAAGATTAAAAGCCTAGACGCACCAGGAGTTGGAAGGATACTGACTTTTGCGGATGATATACTTGCATATAGGCAGGGGAAGAGAGGAAACAAGCGACAGTAGACAAAGTGACTGACTGGTGTACATAAACGAGGGCTATCGTCCACCCGGAAAAGGCGTCTGTTGTTTGCTGTTCTCTAGACAACAGGATCGTTAAAGCTTATGTCCCAAGTCTTGCGATAGATGGTAGAGACGTCAACAGAGGGAGCAAACTGAAGTATCTGGGAATTACATTTGACAGGAGCCTGTCATTTAAGGACCATGTGGAGAGTGTTGTGACGAGATGCCAAAAAGGACTTAGTGAACTTAATACTATGGCTGCAATTGACATAGAGCAGAAAGCAGAGAATGCTTTTCACACTAAATCTGATCCTGTCAGTGGTTGATTATGGCCTGGGACTGTTTACCGGCTCAAAGAGTCAGATGGAAAAACTAGAGCGCATACAGAACGCAGCTATACGGGTCATTCTGGGTTGCACCAGAGACACCCCAGTGGTGTGTATGCGATACATCCTTGGTTTGCCGACTGTCATATCTCAGGGTAGCTGCAGACACAGACCACCCTCTGCATGAAGCTATGGGTGCAGTTAAGGGTCAGCGGCTGATAAGAGGGAGGTCATGGATGGCTCAGACAGAAGACACAATCAGACAGGTTTGCATCCTTGAGAACATTAGGCGAGGAGAGGAGTGGGTCAAAGTGCCACCTGAGCAGACTTGTGTAGAGTCATAATCACGCTGAACCGGGAATGCAGAGACTGGCCAGCAGGTGCCACAGAGGTGGAAATTCAGCAATTAATTCAAGATAATGCTCGCTTAGAGGATTTGATCATTTACACAGATGGTTCAGTGTCAAGAGGCAAAAGAAGTGCTTGGGGCTTCTTAGCAAAAGTTAATGGTCGACGTTTGGTGCAGGAGAGCCAAGCATATGATACCACAACATCCAGCTTAAGAATGGAGGTGGAGGCGGTCACTGCAGCTTTCCGCTGGCTAGAGAACACGACACACACACACACACACATCGTAATTGTAACTGATTCAGAAAGCATGCTAAGGAAGATCAGAACAGATATGCTTTGTGCAGAATAGCCTGCTTCGCTGTGGAGGACACGAGTGAGGAGTATTGTACCCAGAGTTAGGAGTGAGGTAACCAGACAAACACTCCTATCAAATGAAATTCCCAGTTACTTCAGTTTGCTCTCTCTGTTGACGTCTCTACCATCTATCGTGAGACTTGGGATGTTTGTTTTAACGATTCTGTTGTCCAGAGAACACCACAAAACAGACGCCTTTTCCGGGTGGACGACAGCCCTCATTTCTCTACACCACTCACTTTGTCTACTGTCGCTTGTAGCCCCCGAGCTGTTTGTTCCCTCTCTCCCCTGCCTATATGCAAGTATATCATCCGCAAAAGTCAGTATCCTTCCAACTCCTGGTGCTTCTAAGCTTGCAATCTTGCTAGTATAGACGTTAAAAAGCACAGGCGAGATGGCGAATTCCTGTGGCAGTCCTGGGGCCAAAGTGCATGGTTCAGAGGTCCATGAGCCCAGTCGGAGAGCAACCCGACGTGAATACAGGACAGCTGCAACCCAATTCACCAGCCATGGATTAACCTCCTTCTCCCGCAGTGCAGTTGGAATAGTTGTTTGTGTGGTTACCTCACTTATAATGCGGGGTACAGGTCCACCAGGAATAGTTGTGTGGTTACCTCACTCCTAACTCTGGTTACAGGTCCACCAGGAATAGTTGTTTGTCTGGTTACCTCACTCCTAACTCTGGGTACAGGTCCACCAGGAATAGTTGTTTGTCTGGTTACCTCACTCCTAACTCTGGTTACAGGTCCACCAGGAACAGTTGTTTGTCTGGTTACCTGTGGCGGGTAACTTCGCTTTAACTAGCGAATGCACTATGTGCACTTTACAGAGGGAATTACAAACAGTGAGTCATCATATAGTCTTATAGTAACCCCAGCCTTGCTGGTTAAATGAGAGGATTCGGGGTTTGCCCACATCTTATTCCCTGCTGTAATTAAGATTGTATATTTAAATGTTCTTAAGTTCACTGACAATGTTTACAGTTAAAATGAAACTTCATAAAACTGTAGGAGCATTAAAACTAACATTTATTCAGCATTGGATATCAAAAATAATAAACAAAAT